GTTCAAGATTGTTTTAACAATCTTGAAATAACTGTTTCTTTATTTTTTATGACATGTGTTGGATTTTCCTTTTTCTTGCTTTCAGTCTGCTGAGTTTTATTTGGTGGAGTCTGTGTACTTACTGAAGTTTGGGTGGCTATGGTACGTGTAGATTTATCGGCACTGGCATATGATTTGTTTGATTGAATATGTGTGCTTTGAACTAGTTTTCTGGCTTCAGCATATGAGATGTTCCTAGTGCCTTTTGCCATCTGGACTTTATTTTCTGTTTTCCTTTTTGGACATGAACAGGAAAATGCTGGATGGTCACCCTTGCAATTAATACACAGTGCTGCAGCGGTGCAATTAAGTGCAATTATCACTATCGAGGCCAACCGACGAACACCGAGCACACGTCAGGGTCCCACGCCAGGACATCTTGGAATGGCTGAAACACTGGCACTGGAAGCATAGCCTGGGGTTTGAAATATGTTATCTCAACATTATCATCAATTGCAATGCATTCTAAAAATAATTTTCATACCTTCACTCGGTGATCTTCAAAACACTGGCTACAGCTTACAATTCCTCTCAGGCTTCTCCTAAATAAAACCTATACTTTGTATTTTATCAGACTACCTACAATGGATTGACTACAGCAGGCATGACTTCTAGCAAAGATACTGTTTTATTTATCTCCATAGAAGTACTTGCATTTTCACATGCTTTAGGTTGTTTATCATTTTTTGAACATGTTTTATGTAATAATATTTCAAAGCTTTAATAATATTCCAGTTTAAAGGTTCAATTATGGAAACTGAATTTGTAGAAAGAAATCCTTATTTCATGATTTCCAAAACGAGATCAAAGGGGTGTGCAGTATAGTTAGTGTCTTCTTGAATGTTGCATCCATATTGCACATTAATAAGACATTAACAAATTCTTTTGCTTCTTAAAAACTAGTCTGCTTATTAAACTGGTATTCGACTTTTAAACACTAGTGCATTTTCTGGTAATTCTCTGTAAAAACAACAAGTTTTGTCTGCATTGTAAATTTCACGTGGCTTGTAATCATTTAGGCAAGCTAAGGTAAAACATCTCTTATCCAGTTATCAGATGCATGAGTATCTGTCTCTTGCTTCTCACCATACAGTTTTTGATAAACAGTGTTATTTCTCTTTTTCCATTTTGTAAACCATCAGTTGGTGCTATGTTCTCTCTTGGCATTTTAGTGAATTCCACAGTTATTTTGATCTAAAGTGCTCCAGAAATAGGGACGTTTTCAGTCTCACAGCTTGAAACATTTCTCGAAGAGCAGTTTCAACATCTCTTGATTTCCGATCCCTTTTGCACTTCCTTGAGATGCTTTATGTTCTCTTTCCCCCCCTCAGGCTTAAGTTTTTCCTCTTGAGGGATTTTAAATACATCATGCATACAGCAGTTTTAAACTTTTCTAATGATTTGTCCAATTTCAGAACTCATGTTCCTTAGCCAGCAGAAAGACTATGATTTGCCTATTAAATCAATTTCCTACTTCATGGTTAACAGGCATCATCAACATTATCTTTTTTCTTCTTCAGCTTACAGCTACTTCTTCTTTTACATTCAAAAACTGATAATGTATTATAAAACTAAAGAACATTTTATGAAGTTTTCTGAGAATTTCCTGTGACCATAATGTGTGTGCAAAATAGGAATCAATTTTTTTTTTAATGTGGAATCCTTCAGAGATGGAATAAATAGGTTGTACTTCCACTACCTGTATCAGCTGGAGTTCAGAAAGGAAAAAATCACTCATTTAGAGTGCACCTACAGGATTGCTTTAAGATAAGAAATTTTAGCTCCAGCCCAGACAAAGCATTCTGCAAACAGTGTCTGAAAGGATCTGAGGGGGTAAAACTACACTGGCCAAACTTTTGGTCAAACTGGATTTTTGAAGCACTATATACCTTAACTACAAATAAGCCACAATTTTCAATAAATTGTGTGAACTACAAACAGCTTTCACAGGTACCAATCTCTGGTACTGAAGAATCACTCTTTTGCCAATCTAAAAGTAACAAAGAAGAATTTAATAAATGGCAGTTTTTTTATTGATTAGTAAATATTTGTTTTTGTTCCTGGGAATCTGAATGTAATATGTAGCTGATTTTATTAACTGGTAAGTTTAATAACCAGCAGTTACTGCATTCATTTTGCTGTGTGTTATTTTTTTTATAATAAACTGTCAGTTTCTTCCAGCTTATTCTGAATGATGATTTAAAGAGACACCAGTAAATTCATAGTCTGCAATATAACTTACAATCTATTTACAAATTATGAATGTAAATATTTGTAAGCATCATGCTTAGTAAGTTTAACTTCCAAATCAGAAAATATTTTTCTATAACATTTTCTATTTGTCTGCAAGTTTATTTTTTCAGTGAAAATTGCTTCTAATGTTTTCATACCTGAATCTGGTTGAAATGCCATTAAATTCTTTTTAGTTACAAAAATTTCTTTCACGGGTTGCATTTGAAAAAGTATTTAAAAATGCAAGTATCATAATAGGTAATACTTTTTTATTTAATGCATCCATACCAATTTGTCCATAGTATATCAATATGCAAACCTGCAACTTTTTTTAGATTATCTAACTTTGTTTAATCTAATTTTATTTTGAGTTTAACTAACAGTTAAAATGTTAATTTACATCTTGTTTCAGCATATACTCGCTGAGTGCAGAGAATTATGTAAAACTGATAAAACTGATTGGCAAGTATTAGTGAGGGATAAATATAATGTATGGAAAAGAATTCATAACCATAAAACGAAAAATAATTAGAAGTTTGGCTGCATATGTGGCTGATGCTTTTCCCTGCAATTTAGAGAATGTCACTGCTCTAGTGAATTGAATTAGAAGACAGCTTAAATGGTAAGTTAATTTTAGTTTGTCTAATCCAGAATATTGTAGCCTTGCTAGAAAAAGCTTACAGTGTATCCACAAATATTTTATATTTCAGCATTTTTCTGCAAAGTCACAGTAATTGTATTTTGTTCTATATTATAATTTACCCTCACAAGTGGTAATGTAGAATGATGTTAAGTTCAGATTTACTTCCTTGTTTATTTGTGTTTTGAAAAATAGATTAAGCTACAAGCAATAACTTGAATCATAGCTTTTAGGTAACACTAAGGAGTGAAAGTTGGATTTAAGGACTTGCTGTTTAATTAATTAGAACTAGCTCCTGAGTTGTTATAGTAGCATCCAACATAAAAGCTGCAAAAGAAAACTGAAAAGGTTTAGATATTAAATTGGTATAGTGTAAATTTTAAGTTGTTGGTATATCTAGTCATGCAATACAAGAGTCTTGAAATTGGTCTGATGAAGCTGTTATGTTGGATAAGAGTGTGTTGGCCCCAGCAAGGTTTGATCCCTGGCCAGGTTATTATGCATTAGAGGCATCTGGCCAGTTAATACATGCATTTAGGGAGACAGCCAAACCACACACAAATTCTGATAGAATGGGGCCAGTGTTGCAATTTTTAGAAGAGTTAGAAATATACGTTGTGCTGTATGTAATACTGGAAGTTCAAAAAGTACTAACAAAGGATCAGTTCTGTAGTAACAAGCATTGACTTGGTTAAAAAATATTGGAAAGGCATTCTTATGTCCCATCGGCACACTAAGTTATATGAACAATGTGTTTAATCAAGCAATATTAAAAGTATTCATATGATGAGATATAGGGCTAAGTTAGAAAGTGGGCTGCACTGTTTTGTTTATACATCAAAATAAACTATTATGCTACCAGGATATCAAAGACTAATAAAAATATTCTTAAGTGTTCATTTATTGTTGAAAATAGGTTTGGATCTTAAATAAATACAGCACTTATGTAAATAACAAAACATTCTTTAATAAGCCTACCTACTACATGCACATGCTGTTTTTGCTAACTTCATATACTGTTCTGTTGCCACATGCAAGAAACAAAATGCACAATAATTATTAGTGGCCAAGAAATATTAAGTAAATAAAACTAAATGAAAGTATGAATAAAATACAAACTTCATGTTATCTGAAATCCAACATTACAGTGGATCTCAGTTGGATAAAGATCTAATGAAGTTTATAATAAGAAAGGTGCAGCTTTGTAAATTCTTACATGGAAGTGAATAAGAAAGAATATTGAAGATTGTTCCCAAACATTCAAGATTTTGTAGAATTAAGAAACTATGATTATTAAATTACTCGCTTCAGTTCATGACCAAATATGATAGTAGAAGAATGCAGATCGATATCAGCTGACGTAAAGCAGATTTCGATGAAATTCAAAGACTAAGGAAGAACTAAAATAAAAAAAACAACTGTTATTTACACTTAAATTAAGTATAAAGCAATAAATACTGAAAGCAACACTTTTCCAACTCCTCTTAATTCAATTAAATGCTAATAAATTTCTCTGTATTTCAGGTTCTCCAGACGAGTTCTTTCAATAAGCCTAAAACATATTTGTTAGGTTCACTGATAAGTTGCCAAGTTATATGATGTCATAAATACAGTGTAGAGACATTAGGTTTTTTTTTTTTTTTTTTTTTTTTTTTTTTTTTGGAAGCAGGCAAGATGAAAAATTAGCAACCACCTTAGCCGGGAATCAAACTACAGACCTCTGGAATACCGGCCCAGCGTGCAAAACCACTACACCATGAAGGCACGTTAGGAAAGCAACAGAAAAGGGATTAAATCCAAAATAGTTTAAATAAGATAAATTTCTCATACCATAACAATTAGATCTTTCACAGAAATAAAAACCTTTCAAAGTAAACACTAATAACACATCATTAGAAACTGTGAGAATAATTTCTTAAATGAAAAAATTCTATATGCAAGAAAATTTTGAATCATAAAAATTAGCACATTAAATACTCTAAATAAGAATTCTATAGCAGTCAAATCACTTATGTTAAAACAATGGTATTAAAAAATTTTCATTAAAATTTCTCAGCATCTAAGCTAACTTTCCAAAACAAAATTTAACCTTGCCAGTAGTGTTGCTCCAAGTTTTAAATGCATCCAAGGAACCTTCAATTGCATCATCAAGATCAGAAACTTTGCAATCAGGAACAATTGCAATGTTTTCGCCATTGGCTGGGTTAACAACCTTAAAAAATAACAGAAAATGTATATATATTCCAAAAATAAAGGTCATCAGAGAAATAATATAAATAGTAAAGATTTCAGAAACTTATAAATTTAATATAAACTTTAAAATGTAAATCTGTATAATGATTACATGATCTTCATCAAATTATTCAAACAATAACAAGTTAAGTATATCACACACACAAAGTACTAGCATTTGAATATATTGGGTCGCCCAAAAAGTTCTGTTTATATAATATAACTACAAATGAAACAGCACAAAAGCATAAGGAGCTTTCATTGAACCACCTAAGCACCATTTTATTTATTACTTTTTGCCATCCCCCAAGCAGCTAAAAAAATTCCATTAAAAAAATCATTAGGCTTATTCACATTATCAGCTTGCTATTTGACTCTATAGAAGTGAACTTCAGGTCATTCAGAAAATTTTGAAATGCTTTGAAGAGATGAAAATCTTGAAGGACAATGTCTAGTGAATTTGGAGGGTGACTTAAAACATGTCAAGCTATGCTCAATAAGTTTGTCTCAGATTCCCTGAAATGTAGAGCAAAGCACTTTCATGATGGAAGACACCTCAAAGATTGGTTAGGTCTAGGTGCTTTCCTTAATTTCTGCTTTTAAAACTGCCATTTGGGAACAGTATTTTTCTGAATTACGGTGTGATTTGGTTACAAAAATGTATAGCATATAATTCCTTTGCAGTCCCATCATACACAAAGCATTACTTTTGGGGATGCAGCCTTTCTCTTAAAGTTACTAAAGGAGGTTCTTTTGACCATAATCTCTTTCTTGTAGCATTACTGTACAGTATCCTCTTCTCAGCTCCTACAATAAGCTGTTTGAAAAATGGAACTTTACTTTTTTTTCCACCAACAAAGAACCATATGCCAAAATTCAAGTAAGCATATTCTGCTTTGTTAAAGTATGAGGTACCCAGACATCATGGTAGCTTACAAACCCACTCTTTTGAAATGAAATAATGAACAGAAGAATGACTTCTTACTGACTATCATACAGTTCATGACATAAATTTAATGTATGTTGGCATTTATAGGCTTTTGATATTCAAGTTGATAACAGTTTTTATAATTTTAGACTAGAAATTTTCTCTTTTATTTGGCTTTCCTACCATGAATAGCACTTTTTATATACTCAGCTACCTGAAAATTTCAAGTATCTGGCAATTCCTGGGCTTTCTGGATAGTCAAGCTTTTACTGCATTTAATTTGTGACAAAGGAATTACGGCAAAAAGCAAAAAAATCAGAACAGTATTATAAGAAATGTGAGGGTGAAAAAAATCAAAGCTTACAGAAAAAACATTTTTATCTTTAGCTGTGACCCATTTGCCATTAATATATGTCTTTTCTTTGGGAAAACCGTAAAAGTTGTGAATTGTTTTTAGTCCTACTGTGGTATAATTAGGCCTCCACTGAAAAGAAACAAAAAAAAATTGTTTACAGCTTATACGGCACAAAAAGTCAATTTCAGTAAACATAGTATTTCAGGATATGTTTAAAAGTAATGTCTCCAAAATAGTTTACATTATAAAATGCAAATACTTAGCATGCAGAAGAATTTCATTCATAAAAATATGAGTCACATATTGTAAACTACAGAAAACTTGCATAATTTATATGCTGTTATATAAAACAATATTACTTTTTAAACTGAGTTGCTATTTTTTAAAAATAACCAATGATGAAATTATTAAAAGAAAGCCAATATACAGTATTTTGCATACAATGCAGAATAAGTCATATATTCATGCAAGATTGCTAAAATTTTACAGCTTGCGGAAAGTGGGGGAAAAAACAACAGACACTACAAAAATTAAGATGAAAAGTTTTGAAACTGCAGTTAAAAAAATTAATTTCACAATAAAATGCTTGCTACTTACTTCACAAGAAGATATAGATTGTATTACATAGTAAAATATTAAATGCAAACTCGTTTAAATATTCCATTTTTCTTTTAATTTTTTTTATTCTACATGAAGAGAAGGCTGGTAGTTCCTATAAGCAGCCCAATATAGATAAGCCCAGATGAACAAATTATCCCAATAAGTACTTACTAGCCAGTCGGACATGTATAAAATTCATAGACTTCTGAAAAGTGCATTAAATAAGTACACTTAACAAGTTGGTATAAATTACAAACTTCTGGTATGGCTTAGCTATGAATGTAAGTAAAATACACAAGTTGATTCAGATCTAAATGCAAATCCCCAAGAGGTGCTTTGCAGGCTTTCAAAAGATTTAAAATTTCAACTCTTCTTCTGCCCATGTGGTAGGAAGGTTTCGGTTGAACATCACTCCCAAAATATTCACTTCTGATGCAACTAGAATCATGGATCAATAAAGACACAACACAGGCTCAGGACTGAGGCCTCACTTTCTACAAATATGCACATAAATAAACCCTTTTCTTTAAAAAAGTTATCTAACAGTAAAGAGCCAATCATTACTCGAAACATTCTTTCTTTCAAAAATTTCTGAATGAAAATTGGTACGTTGCCGCACAAGCCACTAGCACGAAGATCATGTAAAATACCATACCTGCAATGCTTTATCATAAGCCTTTTCACTGTCAAAGAGGACAGAAAAAAGATGGTTTCTTTTAAAGAAAGCTAGATAGAGGTTTCCAAATGAATCATATTATCAATGGTCATGTTTCCTTTCCAGAAAACGCTCTGATAAAGGGAGATTATGTCCTTGTTTCTGTTTGTTTTTTTCCCCTAAGTAATAAACTAGGCGGTGGTTTACCATTTTTTAATTTTTTTCCAAATAGTTTGCAAATACAGCTCGTAAGTGCGACGGGCTGATTAATATAAGGAATTCTCCGGATCTTTGCCTTGCTTATCTATGGGAATGATCACAGATTTTTTCCAAGCACTGGGAAAAGTATGCTCCTTTACACGTGGTTGTAAAGAGTGAGGAGGGTAATCAACAACTTACAGGAAAGTCGCTTCAGCATTTCATAATTTACAACCCTAAACCTGGAAGAGACTTATATGTCTCCATCAAAGCTTTCTTAGCTAAAGCATGGCAAATTCTCCATTATGTGGCTTAGCGAAGGTAGAGTTGGAACACAAAGGGAACTTTCTCTGAGTGTAGTTTGACAGAATTAAATGCCAGTGGGTTGTTGCTGCTACTAGAATCAGCAGCAAAAGTCTAACCAATGTATTTGTATTTCTCTTGTGCTGATCAGTTACCCATCTTTTTCGAGAACTCCTTCCCACATTCGTTTACCTGATGTGGAGGATGTAGTTCTAGACACATAGGACATCCACAAATTCCTTTGGCTTTTATGCCTCATCTTCTTGCATTTGCTTTGGCAAATTTCAAGGCAATAAGATTTTATATTGTTGAGTGCCTATGAAAACCTCCTCAAGCTTTTCTCCGTTGTTACAGCATAAGTTGGCATTCATGGTTTTACCATGGTTTTGGAATATTCTCGCAGCTTTTTTGAAGTTAGAGGTGTAGAGTGTAGGTGCCTGAATAATAATAACATTAGTAACAGATTTCACTGCATCATTGATAGGCACAACTTTTTACCATTTCCTCTGTGAGCTCTGCAAAGGATGAAAGGAGTTCTCATTCTGCTTTATCAAACAGAAAATGAGGGGATCTTTATATGCTATACAGTCCTCTTTGTGTGAGAAATATAAAAATGAGAAAATGATCGTTCTTGTAAGGATCATTCCCAACACTAAATGTACAAAAGGTCAAACAAGAAGGTGAACAGACGGCAAAATCAAGAGTATGAAATGTCCTTGCAGGCTCATGGAAGTATGTGACTTCTCCATTAATGATAAAGACAATGATTTCTGATCATCCAATCACTTTACCTACCTCGAAGATTTCTGTCCTTACACCCCAGACCGGACTATGGTCATTTAAGTCTCCTATTATGAGAAAAGGTTCAGGCCGCTGCTCTCCAAAATCATTTAAATCTCATTTATAGAGGTGGTCATTTGGAGGCAAATAAAGAGAACACACTGAAAATATGCAAGTTTGTTTATATAATTACAGCTTGGTGGGATGTCATCAACTGAAGTGCATTTGACAAACAATTATGTGAAGGAGACCCACACCTTAATCCCAGAACAAGCCTCTTTATGCAAATAAGATGGTTGACAGGCAGAAGTCTAACAAGGAAGTAATTAAATTATTAAAAACTATAGAAATTAGATATAATTTCAGTTTTGTTCAAATTTCATAGCTTTATTTTTTGTTCTAAAATTCATAATTCAGAAACTAACTAAAACAGATGATATAAAACACAAATAAGTGTATATATCATATACAGGTTACATTACCTTAACATTAAAAAGCAAAAAAAAAGCATCTCACTTCATTTTAATAATCTCAAAAACATCAGAGCTGATTAGTGTTTAAAATTATTTGCAATGAAATCTACTTTGTCATTTTTATTTTTTCTCTCATTTTATAAGTTTACATACGCATTTTCTTAGTACTGCATTTTAAAAGATTGTTTCTTACTTTTATTGTGATATGTAATATTGCATTCTTTCATGGGACTTTAAAATTCCAACATCCAAATATGTATCTCTGATATAGGTCAGAAACATTAAAAGCTTCTACAATAAATTCTTCACCCTCTCTTCAAACAAGAACGATAATATATATATATTACTAGCAGCTTCGCTGCCAGCTTGTCTGGGTTTTAAATGTACCAGAAAAATGGCTGAAGGGAACACCAAACATTAAATTTAAAAACTGCGTAGAATTTTACTCTGCAGAACAACTTCATGATAAAAAAAGTTATTACATATAACAAAATTACAATGAAATAAGCAATATCCCTTAATACAAATATTAATTATCCTAATAAATAAATTAACCAATTCCCTTGCAAAATCTTAAACAAACTCAAATGGTATAAGGAGTTAAGAACTTTGTTTCCTAAAAAAATCACTCAAACTTTTCAGTCGTATCTAAAAACAGTGAATGAGCAATAATAACACAAAGAATACCAAAAACAAAAAATTCTGAAAAGCAAAGTAGAATTAATGATATTTATCTTATATTTTCAAGAGAAAAATTAGTTGCTACTTTGGTAGACGGTTGCACAGATTTTGGTGATTTACATTGGCGCAATTGTTGGCGCGGTTTTATAGTCTCAGCCATCTTGAAAAATGCTGTTTTTACGTATTTGTGGATATAGTAAGTATTATAAACTTAAAAAATTTTTTTAAATAATGAATTAATTTTTTGTTGAAAACATTGTTTTCTAAGATGGCTGGCAAATGTAAATAAATACATTTACTAAGAGGATAAAATGCTAAAGTAGGTTAAACTATTACTTTCATATAATAAAAAAACACCGCTATAACACATTGTGCCAACATTTAATTGGATTAAATATGCTTAAATTGAATATCGAATTAAAACATCATACAAACATTTAAAGAATTAAAATGAATTTTTAAGATTTAATGATTTAACATTAAAACATATGTGCAATAAATATGTCAGAATTTTTTAAAACATTGTATTAATTTTTAATAAAGTTGAAGTATACAATTATAAGTAAAAAAAAAATTATGTACTTACTTTTTTTATAAAGTATTTTACCTGCGTACATGATAAGTACCAGGGAAAAAAAACGATCTTCATGGGCCACCATCTCTCGCACTTCATGGAGAAACAATTAGCGAGGTTTTCCTCAAAAATTTTAAATAAATTCCTCTGACGCTATTAACATTTATAAATAATCTTTGATTGGAAAGCCAGGTTGGCCAAAATAAGGTCCTCAAAAGACAATTTTCTTATTCCGATACGAATAGTCCTTGGTACTTACCAGTAACAACATTCATCTTTGAAAGGGACATATCCGTTCTCTATGAAAGCTAAAGAATTCGAAGAGATGAATAACAAAATTTTAAAATGGCGCGGTAATGCGCAAATATTCAGTAACCAATCAGGCAGCTGATTACAGCTCGTTAATGCACAAGTATTCTATAACCAATCAAGGAGCTGATTATATCACGCACAGAATTAAAATTATTTAATAATTCATTCATAATCAAATCATTTTAGAACAAATGCAAATTAAATTGTATTTAATATTTAACAGCCATAAATAATGTTAAAACATTAGATTAAATTTATACATATTAATAAAACCATTCGTTTTTAGTAAGGTGATGTCATGATACATCATCCACAACATAAAAATTATATAAAATATTACAAACACAAATTTTTATTTCAAATAAAAATGCAAAATTAAATTGACTTTTAATATTTAGAAGCTATAAATAATATTTAAAACACGGAATTTATGCATAATAAAACGCATTATTTTTCAAATAAAATGACAACAAAGTATCGGTTACCATAAATAACTTATCCAGCGATGGGCTTACCATAAGTCGTATTACTCGCCAAAAGAAAAATTGCCAAA